CCATCTTGGCTCCTCCTGTTACTGTCTTTAAATAAGGTTTTAGTAATCATTTCTGTGGAAAATTTATGTGGCATCAGGACCGTAACATTTATTATAGGATTGTTTCTATGAGAAAAAGCAGGTTTTACTGTATTAATTTTGATATAAGATACCTTTTCCAGAAATGTATTCCGCCATGAATGTGAAAATTGCCTTTACTGCCACATGGTCACCCTCTTCCCTAGTCAGGCAAATCTACAGAATGACCTTTGCATATACGTACATGTGCATGTATATACACACACACATATATATCGCATACGCATTCTCCTCTTTACTCATTCCTGTATGCTTTCTTCTCCCATGTAAATCCTACTCATTCATCATTTAAGTGTAGCCACCTTAATGAAGCCTCTATAAATTACAGCATTATCAGTTAATCTCTACTTATTTGTATATGTGCTTCTTCAACAAAATTTTAAGCTATTTTTGAAATGGTACCAATTCTGTACTACTGTAGTGAAAGCTCTCTTAACTGATGTTTAGTTAGCCAGTGTTCTTCAGTCCCTTTGTATAATATAATGACTGATACCCCTAGCATTAAGGCTAGGCTAACAGACTACATTCTATTACTTTTGTCCACTTCTGTTTCCATCTTTTGAGTTTTAGGCTTATCAAAAGTCAGTTGTGTGTTGCCTGGGCCCCACCTCTGGAAAATCTGGTATAATTAATCTGTGGTGTGACTGAACATTGGTGATTTAAAGGAGAAGGATTATCAAAGTTGTATTTGTTTCTGAGCCTGTATATCCCAGTTATACTTTTTATCATAATCATATAGTTTAATTAAATCATAACTTAGATTGAAGAAATATGAATGTGGCAAGGTAGTTTCTATGAAAACTTAAGTTACTTGCTTTGGAATTACTCAAAGCTGGTTGAGGATTATAGTTGAATTATGTGTGTAGAATACAACTGTGAAATGTTGAGAGAAAGTCTTAAAGGACTGCATTCAGATTTGTTCAGAAATGTCTTTAGCTGTCATGCCATTTTAAAGAAACTGGAAACTATAGCTTTTGCGGTGTTGGAACGGTTTGTGGTTTATTCCAGATAGAAAGCACATTAATACCACTCAGTGGAACCTTAGTCAAAGAAAAGTTCTTAGTCCTACATCGAAAGATTTATATAATTTACATTAAAATGAAATACAGTTATGACTTCCTTTTTCGATAAAATATTTAGATATATCTATTGACCAATTACCACCTTTTTGTAAACTTGCTCCTTGTGTGTGTGTGTTGTTTTATTTAGTTAATATAATCAGACTCAAAGCTATAAGTGTCCTTAGAGAAAACAAACTTGGGAAGTGATGTGACTTGCTGAATTTCATAGCTGATGAAATGATGCATCTTTTACTCAAATCAAGGGCATCTGTGCCTGTCCGATGCTCTTTCCAGAAACATTTAATCGATTTTGTTATTGTTATATATTACTGATGATGAGCTGTTCACTACTTAGTATAGATGGAACAAGTGAGGCAATTGATACAATATTAATACCAGTCTCAGCTACATATTTGGGACACTCTTTGCCATTTTTAAGGCATTGGCATTAAGTAGCTTTGGGGCAAAAAGAGCTTCTCAGTACATGTTCTTTTTCAGCTCTTTAAGAAGTAAAGAAGCAGCTGTTGTATGTGCCTCATGTAGCCATTCTCCAAGCACCTGTTACAAACAGTGCTCTGACCCTGAAAGAGGAATCAATAAATCAGTACATATTGAGTACCTCCCAGTGTTCATTAGTTAGCCACCAGGGATACAACTGTGAATAAAACAGAACAATTGGTTTGGTGTGGTGGCACGTGTGTAGTCCCAGCCACTCGGGAGACTAAGACAGGAGTATTGCTTGAGCCCAGAGTTTGAGGCTGCTGTGTGTTGTGATTGCACCACTGCACTCCACCCTGGACAACATGGGGGACTCTGTCTTTTAAAAAACAAACAAACAACAGACACAGTTGATCCATACCTTCCCGAAAGTATTTAACTGCAAGTTGTAAGTATTATAAAAAGTTAAAAGTCTGGTACTATTGGAATATATAACTGGAGACCAGATCTAGTCTGAAGGAATAGTGGAGGGAGGTGGTCAATGAAGGCTGCCATGTGAAATTGTCGTTTAGATGAACTCTAAACAGTATAAGTGGGAATTGTCCAGTGAATGTGGGGGAGGGAAGGGAAATTTGTATAGAGTGGGCAGGGCTGAGCAATGTTGGCAGAGGGAATGGTCTGTCCAGAGGCACTGACGTAAGAAGGGGCATGTTTGAGTTTGTCAAGTGGAAAGAAAGCATGTGGATCTGCAGAACAGAGAAGGAAGAGGGTGAAATTGATGATGAGGAAAGAAGCAAGGGCTCAGGTATGCAAGATCTTGGAGAGTGTATTTGTGCTTAGCTCTAATGATAATGGGGAGTTACTGCAGGGGTTTTAAAGCTCTCATTTTATATTATCATTTTGTACATATATTTCTAAAAAGATAACTCTTCTCTATGGCAATTGGAATGGAGGGGAGACTGGAGTGGATGTGGGAGATGGATAAGCAGGATGGTGACGTTAGATATAAGGACAGGCAAAATTTATGTTTGGAGAGGTACATTTTATAGTTTTGCTTTGCATTTGTACTTTAATTAAAACTTCATTACTTGTTTGCATTCCTAGTTAACCTTAATTCTTTCCTGCAGTCATTCTGTCAAGATATTATAAGCTTCAGGGGCCTACTATAAATTTTATTAACTCAGGTTAGGGTTGGTTTTATCAGTTATTTTCTTGGTCACATTGGAAACATGCTCTCTTATTTTTAAATTTAAGAAATGACAGCTTATTAGTAATGATAATAAAATGAAAGTGTCGGTAATAAGATCCATTGTATAATATAATAACCCAAGTGTTTTTACTAGAATAGGAATCATGTGAAGGAATATTTTAAACAAAATGGAAAAGCTTTGACTGTGGGCATAATTTTAGAATAATTGATATTAAGAGCTCTAATAGAGAGGTATGTAGTGGATGTAATAGAAATGTGGCTATTACATAATTTAATGACTTTCTACAATTCATACTCACATTGCATTTATTGCATATTTACCATACACCATAATCTTACAAAGTAATTCACTGTCATCAAAGTATTTCCCAATTTTGTTAAGACAAACTACTGGAAATTATTAGTATATATTCTAATTTATAAATGGGAAGGCACATACTATTATTCTTCCTAATCTAGAAAGCTCCTTGAATTGAGATTTATATTATATTTGCATGTAGTCAATGGGAATGAGTCAAGCAGAAGGAAAATAATGACCTTGGGTAGAGATATAGAATACCTATTCTATTTCCCCCACCCTCAACATACATCTTTATTGAAAATATAAAACTATATTTGAAATTTTATGTATTCTCATTGCTTGGTAAATTTACTCATTTTAAATGTCATTACATCCTCTATAATGAATCAAGATGGGTTTAAAATGCCTTCTAAAATTGGTAAATTTTATTTTGAAAATTTCAGTAAATTAAATAGCACTGTACTATGAAACAGAACAGATGTAACTTGAAAAATTATATTTTCTGTTTTCTTCTAAATTTGTTAGAATGAAATTTTTATGGATTAAATGAGCTAATGGCAAAGGATTCTAGAGACTGCTAGTTTTAAGTTTTTATTTTAAGTTTTATGTTGAGACTGAATATTGTCACCAAGTTCAGTTATATGCTTATATGCATGGCTCTTATATTCTAAATAATGTTAATTAACTGGTCCTCAGATCCTTGAACTCAGAGATATCTTTTTATGTTGATTTGTTTTGGTATTCATGTACTTACAGTTCACTTTTCCTTTGCATATATACAACAAACCATAGTTTTCTCTGTAAAAAAAATTAGTATATGAGTGTAGCTTGTGTTTTTATTTGAAAACTGCCATCTGTTATTTTTTCAATGCCATCACCATCAATCACTGTAAAATTTCTTCTCAAAAAGTGGCAGCAATCAAGTCAACTTCTTCACTATATTTTTTTATTATACAAGTGTGAGTAATTATCATAATGAATTACGGTATACTTTTTTGGTTTCCCTATTGCCGAGCACCTTCATGAATGGACTCTGTTTTATACTCAATATGTTCCTAAAAGGGGGAATTAATTTTAGTACTATTTTAAGAAAAACAGCATTGGAAAAATGTTTATTCAAAAATATTACTCAGTCCAAGGAGTGATGTAAATTGTTTTTGTGTTACATATTCTATTTGTCATCTGTTTCACTGGTGTACTAAAAGCAGTGTTTCTTGAGGTTTGTTGCTTTTGAGATAGAGTACTAGATAACTTCGTAAAATTAGTAATCACCTCTTTCGTAGGTATTCTAAAGGCTTTTGTACACATGATATTTTACATCATTCTTTAAACCATTTCTGTGGGACGTTATTTCTAATGGTCATGTTTTTAAGTGCTAGTATATGCTGAAGTATATGATTTGCTAGTATATGCAAATCAGCCAGGTTCATACCAGAGGTATGTGCTTCAAAACTTGGGTTGTATAGCTAAAAAGAAGAATGTGGAGAATTCAGAAAGGGTTTAGAAGAAACCAAGAAATGTTTGAAACATGCCTAAAAGCAAGCAAAACTATTCTGCATCTCTTATGTATTCTTATGTTGGGGCTGAAAAATAGCGTGATATACCTGTTGTTAGACTCATTTCACATCTAATTAGAAAAAATTAATTTCTTTCCCTATTTAAGCATTTTGATAGTACTTTTAAGGTTTGGCACATAAAATAATTCAAATGAAATCATTAGACTTAGTGAAGTAGATTTGATATACTTTGGATTTTTTAAAACAGAGTGCTAAGATGTAATAATGAACAAAATCTAAGTATAAATTTGCAGTCTCTGATAATTATGTTGTCTGTCAGTAGTCATTAAAATGAACTTATTTTTTTTTTGCAAAGCATTTACATACTGCTTTTTATGTAATATGTTTTGTATAAGGTCAAAAGAAATAGACTGGCAACCTTATTTTACTACACGCATTGTAGATGATTTTGGCACACATCTACGTGTATTCAGAAAAGCTCAGCAGAAAATAACAGAGAAAGATGATCAAGTAAAAGGTAATGTCTTTATTCCATTTGAAAATTAGTATTTAAAAATCTGTTTTCCTTTATCATTTTGTATATCTTGAATTGTTTTTTTCTTTGCTAGGTACAGCAGAAGATCTTATAGATACCTTCTTTGAAGTTGAAGTTGAAATGGAGAAGGAAGTTTGCCGTGATCTAGTGTGCACTTCTCCCAAAGATGAAGAAGGTTTTCTTTTCATTATAACTCTTTCGAGTATAGTAACTGTTTAGAGACAAGTTAGGAGAACCAGTGAACAAATCTAAGGATAAAATTATTGTTATATAGGACAGGGTAGCATAGTAAAGGCACAATTTATTTTAATTTTTAGCTATTTAAGGTAGAAGTTAGATTCTTTTTCTCTTTTCAAGGTTATCTTTAAAAATTAACCTATCTTCTTTTAAAATATAGCAAGCACAAACATTCTACAATTGAAAATTTACATTCTTGATCTATAGTAATTTCTCTTCCCCTTGAATTTATTATTTCTATTTTAAGAGTATACCTGCTACCCTAAAATATTTTCTAGGAAAATGATTATAATGATTTCAAGTAAAATTTATAAATTTGAATGGACTTGTCTTAATTGTAGGAGTTCAGATAGGAGTTCAGACCAGACAAATTTTAGCGAGGATGTTGTCTTTTCCCAGTTTATAAGTTTTTGTTAATTTGCACATTTTAAAATTAACAGTAGCATATTATTCCCAGGAAGTGTCAGCATAGGAGCAACTACAGAAAAGCTTTTTTAGTTGTGGACATTGTTTTCTTAGACTTTGAAATGTGTTAAACTTTTTTATTTCCTTTGCCTTTACTTTCTTCTTTTTCCTTTTTTTTCTTTTTACATTTATTATGCACTTCAGTTTTTCACTGCTGGTTCATTAGCACTGTTGTGAAATACAAGTGACCTTTGAACAATGAGGGGGTTGGGGGTGCCGACCCCTGTTCAGACAAAAATCTGTATATAAATTGTGACTCCCCAAAAACTCAACTACTAATAGCTTACTGCTGATTGGAAGCCTTACTGGTAATGTAAACATAAACATATGTTTATTAACATAAACAGACTAATATCTATGCATATTTTATGCATTCATGACATACTTTTTCTTAATTTTTCAATATTTCTAGACTATGCAATTCATTTGTGAGTTTTTTCAAGTTGTCACAAATCTCCAGCGAATTTTCCAGTATTGGAAAAAATCCATGTATAAGTGGACCTGAGCAGTTCTGACCCGTTGTTGTTCAAGGGTCAACTGTAATAACTAAGAATGTAAGAAATAGATACAGTGATGTGGAGTGCTTTTATGTGAGTTGAGCTCTCTTAAGTCACTAAAATAGAAGAGCATGCTCTCTTTTCCTTTGTTATTGCCTACTGAGATAGTAGAAGTTTTTTCTTGAAATAAGAATTACAAGTATATTTTTAATATGCAAATAACTTTTAAGTATGCAAAAATAATTAATTCGTGGTAGAAGTGCAAAATACATGGTACATCTAAAACAGTTTTGCGGAAAAACACTTTCATAATTGAAGTTTTTTATGATGAAAAAAACTGGTTAGAACAGCAGAATTAAAAAAATATTAGTTCGGTTACTGAATAGTTATGTAGAGACCAACGATGGAATTTTTAATGAACACTGATATATACTGATTACTAAATAATAAGCCAGTGTAACTAGGAAACTGCTTATTTTTGCCTTTCTTATGTATCTTATATCAAGAATAGGTGGAGAATTTATATTTTATAATGTTATTATAGCTACTTTTTCTGTTTTTAGGATTCCTAAGGGATTTGTGTGAAGTCTTATTGTATTTATTGCTACCTCCTGGAGATTTCCAGAACAAGATCATGCGATACTTTGTCAGGGTAAGCTTAAACTCATTCCAAATAATGGCTGTAAAGAAACTTGGAGCAGTAGTTCTCAAAATTTTTGGTCTCAAGACCCTCTTACACTCTTTTTTTTTTTTTTTTTTTTTATTTCAGGGTGTTATGAGGGCACAAACATTATGGTTACACTCTTAAAAATTATTAAAGACTTCAAAGAGCTTTTGTTTATGTGGGTTTTCTTTATAATATTTATGTATTGTAAATGAAAACTAAGAAATGTTTAAAATATGAGGATACCCATATTAGCTGATAGATCGATGATATTAATATCATTATACTATCATATACCTCTTGTAAATCTCACTGTATGCTCATGAGAGAATGAAACAGTAAATAATGTCTTAGTATTATTATGAGGATGATTTTGATGCAAACCTCCTGAAAGGGTCTTAGGAACCTCCCTCTAATCCTGTAGAGGTCCTTGGCCAATACTTTGAGAACTGTTTAACTTAGAGTTAGTGCTTGGATTTTACGTTATAACAGAAGCATGCTTTAAATTTTCTTTACTGTAGCTTTACTGAAATTAGGCTAGATAAAAATAATATTTCTTAAGAAAATTGGGCAGTTAAGATTTTGCTTTTTATAATTGGGAAATTAATGTCAGATGAGAACAGTAGTTTTGGATTCTATTCCCTAAGTATAAAACTTCAGAGTAAAACTCTGTATAGGAATATTAAGTAATAACATTTGTCTTTGGCTGCTGGTTATGATTGTGAAATGGTAGCTACATTAGACCATATCCTAGTGCAATGGATAAAATGAAAGTTTTGAATTTTCCTAAAAATGAAAGCTTATGATCTCTTTAGTCTATCCTGCAAAACAGATACCAATTTCTGAGGTGTGATTTTATACTTTTATATTAGTGTTTAAGAAATACTGTATAATTTCCTAACATGTACCTAGCTTGAGTTCAGTGTACTTCTCAGGTATGTTAATGGTACTTTTGTGAAATGGGTAGAAAGTGCTTAGTTTTGATTAGAAGAGTCTGATAGTTTATATATTGTTAAGGCCAATTATTTGGGCTACTCATTTTCAAGGGTGGTAAACCTGGCATGTCTGTCACTAGAATCACATCTGCCACTGAAGGAAGATATTACTAATCAGGTGTAGCACTCACTCATGCTGAGTATCCATTTGGCATAAGATTCTGCCTACATGGTACTCTACAGCTACCATTACATGGTATCTCAGCAGCATTTCACATGGTTTGCCATCTTTTCCTTCTTGAGACTTTATCTTTTCTTTGCTTCCATGTCACTGCTCTCCTGATTTTTCTCTTCCTTTTGTCTCCATTTTAGTTACATTTATACTCTTTCACTCCTCTTCTGCTTAACTTTTACGTCTTCAATCCTAGGCAATCTTCTTGCGCACCCATTCCTGTGGCTTTAAGTACCGTCAAAATGCTAATGGGTTCCAAATTTATAGCTTTAGTGCAGACTTCCCTTCTGAGCTCCAGGTTACTCTTACCAGCTGCCTAGTTGAAAATGCCACTTGAGTTACTCACAACCCTTTTAAACTTAAATGTCCAAAATGGAAGTCTTACTCTTGCTTCCATATCCTGTCTGCCTTTTAGTCTTTTCTCCATTCCAGTATATGCAAATTTTTCAAATCTCAAGTCCTTCTAGAGGCTTACAAAGTCCCATGTGGCTTGGCTTTGTTCCCTCTCTAGCTGTCACGCCATGCAATATTAAGGAAAACCAGAGCTAGACAGTAGTTAAAGTGGTAAAAACATATTTTATTCAGGAACTATAGCAAAAGGAGAAAAGAGACCTCAATATAGAACTGGACTCAATTCCAAATACAGCAAGAACAAGTGAGGATTTATAGCCAAGGGACAGGTTGGGGATTAGAGATTAGAAAATAAGGGCAAATGTCAAGGGAAAGGGGAAATTCTGGCTAAACAGACTTTAATCGGATTCTTGTTGAAGACAGGCCAAGAAGATCAGATACCAAGGGTGGAGGTATGAGGAATTTGATCAGATATCCAGGGGAGGGGAGTTCTGGCTAAACCCATTTGACAGTATTCTTGCTAAGACTGTGCAATGCAGAGATGGACACGCATGGAAGCCCAAAGATGAAGGCCTAATTGGGAAGAGGATTCAGAGGAGCCTAACTAAAATTTGGTCAAGGATACAGTCTTTTTCAACAGTCACTATACTCTAGCTACACTGGCTTTTATTCCTTGAAGTTTCATTTTCCTCCTCCCTATGGGACTGTCTCATACACTTTTTTTTTCCCTGCTCAAAATGCTTCCCCTTACTCTCTTGGCTAAATTATATTCATTCCTCATATTTCACTTAATGCCACTTCCTCAGAGATGCCTCCCTGACCACCTAATCTAAAGCCCCTGATAATTCCCTATTATTGTAAGTAGTTCCCAGTTGTTTTCCTTCTTAGCATTTAGTATGTTTTAAAACAGTAATTTGGATGTGTTTACTTACTTGGTGCCTCTTTCTCCCAAATGAACTGTAAGTCCAGTGAGGACAGGGACCATATCAGTATTTATCATAATTAGATACTTAGTGGTTAACATAATACCTGGCTCCAAGCAGGTGCTCAATGAGAGAATCAATTTTAATGCAAAAGGAGACACATTTGCCCTCTTGGTGGATGTGGTGCACATGCTACTGCAGCTCCTTGGGGATTTCATTGATTCCTAAGTGCCACGAAGCTCTGCCTTGTTATTTGAGGTTGTTGTTTAAAATAAGTAGGATTTTAATGAGCAAATATGGTTTGCATAGATTTCTCTTTCAGGCCAGTATTTCATTTTTTTTGGTTGAATCTAATTGAGTGAAGGTAATTATAGAATGTGTATTCAGCAAATCAGTTTTTCTTTTAATTTGATAGAAATCCTTTGTCAGTTTTCTTTTGTCTGTAATTAAATCCAAGTTTTCCCAAAAGGCATTTTTGTTTAGATTCGAGTTCTTTTCTTTGTATGGATCCTTTGTGTAGATTGTACAAATTACAGTATTTGAGATAATTGCTATTTAACTGCCTCTACTTTCTTGCCATTGTTATGTTTTATTCATTTAAAGATTCATGGTATCAGTGACTTTGTATCTCATAGGCTCCCATATTTGACAAAACTTTCTTGTAGAATTGGGGGCTCTTAAAGTAGGAATTACATGGAAATGGCTGCCTACTTTGGGATATTTAGAGCTTTCACTAGGACCTGTTTAGGAATTGTTGAGTTCTGTGGTTAGCCCTTGACTAACCACACTCCTTTATGAAACAAATTAAGAGATCAAAGTATTTATTTTCTAAATTGACTATTTTCAAATTGACTAATTGCTTTAAGAAGAAACACAAAATTTTCTCAAAATTATTCCCCATGTGTTTTTTTTCTCATTTTGAAAAGAAACTTTGGAAAAATATGTTTGTGTGTTCGAATTTTCTCCTTACAAAGTACATTTTAAAATTTGAACACAGGTGGCCAGAGACATAATTTGAAGAAGGAATTACATAAATATAATTTTTAAGAAGTTAGAGACTAAAACTAACCTTGAAAGAAGCAATTTCTTGTAATTTGGGACTGTGAAGTGTCTCCAAAGACATTTCAAAAAATTACTGGTGCCTCCATTAGTGCCTTTTGGAGATACTAATTCATCATGGGGTACCATTCAATAGTTGTCAGAGATGTGTACAGCTTACAAAAGTAGAATTATGTAAAATATTTTTCTAAAGGAAAATAAAGACCACCTTCTATGAACTTATACCAGAAAATAGCCCAGATAAATTACAGATCTGGGAAGAAGGAATAAATAAATTGGTCATCCTTTGCCTATTAACCTTATTGTTTTTTAGCCTCTGCAGTATTCTTAAGAAATGAGGTTTTATAAATTTGGATATCACAGGTATCTAGGAATGAAGGATAATACTAGGTGAAAACATTGTATTTATAGAATCAGTACTAAATTCTTAGTTTCTTTCTTTTGATTCATTTATCAAATACCTGCCATGTTTAAAACGATGACTTTGAGAAGATAGAGAGAGGTAAATATTTTTGAAGATAGGTAAATCAATAAATCAGATGACTAATCCCACTTACATACAGGTGGTTCTTATATAGTTGTGGTCTATTAGAGAAATATAAGACATATATTATAATTATGTAGAAAATACCAAGTGATAAATGCTGTAAATATAGACCACAAATGTATTTTAAGCATGTAAGTGAAAAAGTGTCCACCCTGGAATGATCAGGGTTTATTTAGTAGGGTAATTGACTCTGCAGTCAGTTTTTAAAGGAAGGGCAGAATTTTAATAGGTAGGAACATAAATAACTGCAAAAAATGGGAAAGTGTAGAGAATGGTGAGTAGATTGTATTAACATTATTAATTTTTAACATTTTTATTAGGAAAATATTCAAACACAAAAACATAGAGAATAATACAGTAGATGTTTATATATCAACACCCCACATTTAACCAATGTTAATATCTTACTGTAGTTGCTGTTTCCACCCTTGAAGTAACCACAGTTCTAAAATTGAAGTGTATCTTTCTATTTGCTTTTGTTTTTATACTTTTAATATAGATCTATGAATCCATAAACACCTCTAGTCTGTTTTGCCTTTTTAAAATGGATATTAATACTAAAGTACTTAGAGATATCCTTTTCTTTTTTGAGACAGAGTCTTGCTCTGTTGCCTGGGCTGAAGTTCAGTACTGTCATCTTAGCTCACTGTAACCTCAAACTCCTGTACTCAAGTGATCCTCTTGCCTCAGCCTCTCCTAAGTAGCAGGAACAACAAGCATACAGCACCACACCCTGCTATTTTTCTATTTTTGTAGAGACAGGGTCTCACTATGTTGCCCACGCTTAGCTCACC